TCAACGTCTTTACATCTGGCAGAACAATAATCTCTTCCAAACTTTACAGAGTGGCTTTCACTTGTAGATGGGTCTCAGTGTGCTGATTGTGAAGATTGTCATAACTCTGATTCCAATAAGATGCAGTATTATAGACTTTGTACAACATTTTCAGCTGAGATCAGTGCTATTAATGACTCTGAGTGCCTCAGTGGCCATTTTGTTCACAATGGGGAGACTTGACTGAGGGACTCTCTCTTGGTGTCAAGTCTGACATGGTCTATAAACAGCTGCAGCAGTGCTGGATTATAGGGGAAAGACCTCAGAGAGGCTGTGAAGCTGGGGTCCTAGCCTCAGGATCCTTCTTCTTGGAGAGAGGGAGTGTTCTGGAGGTTTGGGTCCAGGGAGCAGAGTATAGCTGCAATTCAGGAACTAGAGCTAATAGGATATAATGGCAACTAAGTTCCTGGGGGATGAACCACCATCTGGTGGTGACCTTGGACCTGGGATGATGGGGCACAGCAGTATTCCAGACTGTGAGGCTGGGTACAACAATAGCAAAGAACACAAAATGACACAGCTATCACTTGGACCCTGGAGGGGTGGGGGATGGCGGGCAGGGATTAGCACAGTGATGACTCCACTTAGCTGGGAAATAGGTATCTCAGCATCTAAGACTTTAGTCCAACTAATCAAGCTCTAGGGAAGTAGGGAACTAGAGTTGTTTCTCCTGTTGGAGGAAGGGATATTTCTGCTCAGCCAGTGCTGTTTCCCTGGGTTGTGGAGTACTATGTCAGCTCAGCCCTGGAATGCACAACTGCCCAGCTCAGCCAAAGCATGACTGACTGGGTGGCAGTGTACTGCTTTAGCTCAGGCTTGGGGGTGAGTATGATGGGTAGGGAAAGTGAGGTATGACTACTTTAAGTGGCCAACATATCATTTCCTGGGAGGCAAGGTACTACTGCAACTCAGACACTGGGAAGTCATGACTACTCTGGGAAGCCAAAGTACCGTTTTCCCAGAAGGGAGGACACTACACTTCAGCTCAGGCATGGCGGCAGGGGGCAGCAGCAACTGGGAGGGGTAGATGGACCACTTTTCCAAGGCATTGTTTCTTCAGGAGGCAGTGCACAGCATCATCTCAAGCCCCAAGAGGCAGGGCACAGCAGGAACTCAGAAGGGTATATGGAGGAGTTTTGTTATGATACTCTTTTTTTTTCCACTGCCTTATAAGAGACAGTGCACAGGTTCAACTCAGGTCCCTAGGGGCAGGGTGCACAGCGACTAAGAGGAGTAGATGGAACAGTTTCACCAAGGCAGTTTCTCTCGGAGGCAACGTACAGTTTCTCCTCAGGTCATGTGGGTCAGGGCACTGTGGTAACTGGGAAGGGCAGATGGAACACCTCTGCCAAGGCACTCATTTCCCCTGGAGGTAGTGTGTAGCTTCAGTTCAGGCCCTAGAGGACATGGTGTAGTGGGACTAAGGGGGGTAAATGGAATAGCTGCTTAAGCAACTTGGCCCACTGGGTGAGATGTAGCAGCACATCAGGGATGGCGGGGCACCAGGCAGGAATAGTCCCACCATGGGTGAGCCTCCAGGCTGGTAGGGTGCCATGCCACTTGCCCTCAGAGCAGGACACATTCCAGCAGTAGTTCACATTCCAAGATGACATAGTGCAGTAGCCATGTAGGCCACAGGGGGAAGGGCACACTGTTAGCTTCTACTCTGGGGTATCACGGCTCTGTGGACTCCAGGCAGCTCCCTCAGCTGGTTTAGTGCCTGTGAGGACTGTAGGTGGTCCAGGGTGTTGATAGGAGCTACTAGGGTCCTCTTGCTTACTTTTTCACTACAAGGAGACGTCCTCTTGGTTCTAAGCTGATCCTGCCTAGGGAGTGGGGTGTTGGATGCCAGATATTTCCTAGGATGTGGAGTACTGTGACAGAAACCAGTATGTGGCCATACCGGTTTTCTGTCCTCTGCAGGGTTTCTGCTACTCTTTTGATGTACTCTGGCACTCTCCTTTAGTTATTTTTTACCAAAATATAGTTGTTTGTTGTTTTGGTTGTCTTTATGGGAGAGATGAATACTAACGGGTCTTGTTGACATCCAATTGACTTTAATTTCTTTTTTTGTCTAATGTCTCTGGGTAGAAGTCCCGGTACACTGTTGAATAGCCTTGCTGACGAGGGCATTTTTACCTGTTCTGCTCTTAAGGCAAAAGTTCTCAGTCTTTTACCCTTGAGTATGATGTTAGCTGTGGGTTTTTAAATTACATAAGATGTAACTATGGAGATTACTTGAAACATTCTAAATTTATTATTAAATGATCTAGTTTGTATTAACACCTTCACTTTAATAGCATGAAAACAACTGCTTCTTTGTAGTTCTATCTCCTCTTTTATATTGTTAATTTTGCAAATTACATCTTTTTTCCGTTGTGTACTAAATAACATGAATATATAAACTGAAATTGCAAACCAAAAATAGACAATTATCACCATTTATATTTGCTGATATCATTACCTTTACTAGACATCATTATTTCTGCATGAGTATTTGAGTAGCTATCTAATATCCTTTCATTTCAATCTGGGCCCTTTTAGCATTTCTTTTAGGGTAGGGTTAGCAATAACGAACTCTTTCAGCTTTTGTTTATCCGGGAATGTCTTAATTTCTCCCTCATTTTGAAGGACAGCTTTGCCAGATATACAATTCTTGGTTTTTTGTTTTTCGTTTTTTATTTTTATTTATTTATTTATTTATTTTATTTCAGCATCTTAAAGGTAATCCCTTGACTTCTGGCTTCCATGATTTCTGATGGTAAATTGACTGCTAATCTTACTGAAGATTCCTCATAAGTGATGTGTTACTTTTTCTTCATTGTTTTCAAGGCTCTGTCTTTTTTTTTTAATAGTTCAACTATAATGTCTTCGTGTGAATCTCATTGGGTTTAACCTGTTGTAATTAATTACGTGTACTTCTTAGATATGCAGATATATGCCCTTCATCAAATTTGGGAAGTTTTCTGCCAATATTTCTTCAAATATTCTTTTTGTCTCTTTCTCTTCTCTCCTTCTGAGACTCCCACAATGTACATGTTGTTTGTGTTATGCATGCTTTTTAGGCTCTGTTCATTTTTCTTTATTATTTTTTCTTTCTGTTCCTCAGGTTATATATTTTCAACTGTTCTACTTCAAGTTCACTGATTCTTTCTTCTGCCTGCACAAATTTGCTGTTGAACCCATATAATAAATTTTTCACTTTACTTGCAGTACTTTTCAGCTTCAGAATTTATTTTGGCTCCTTTTTATAATTTTTGTCTTTTTGCTGACATTTTTATTTTGATCATACATTATTTTCCTAGTTTCCTTTAGTTTTTTGCCCATGGTTTTCTTTAGTTATTTCTGCATATTTAAGATAGTTGTTTTAAAGTCTTTACCTAATAAGTCTAATATCTATGCTTCCTCAGGGACAAATTCTGTTCATTTATTTTGTTCTATTAAATATTATAATGTTCTAACTCTGAAAATTAGATTCTTCTCCTATTTTAGGGTTTGAATTTTTTGTTTCACTGCTTGTTGAAGGCTGTTTAGTGACTTTCCAAAAAACTTTGGCAAGACTGTACTAGTTTTCATGTGAGATCACAGAAATCTCTGTTCTTGTAGCTTTTCTTCAGCTAGTGTTTTGATAGAGATTTGCTTGATCTCTAGGAGTTAAAAAACAAACTAACAAACAAAAAAACTTCTCCAGTTCTTACAGATTATTTCTGTGCTGGAGTACTTTTTCGACACTTAGCCAGGATTACACTGAGTCTGGAGATCATCCAAAGCTGAAAGTTTTGGGTCTCCTCTGGCCTTTACTGAGCATGTTTCTTGCCCTGGGCATGCACATAGCTCTTGCCCTGGCCATTTACATAGCATTCTGTATTTTCTACCATGCAGAGATGCTTTAGACTGTCCTAATTTCTCCAAGAAAATTTCCTTAGCTTTTTCCCCAGGTTTTAGATAGTTATTTTATGTATCAACTGTAATCTTTTGCCCTAGGCAACTGCATTTGTTAGCCTTATAATGTTTTCAAGCAATGTGTGCTGCTTTTCTGCCCAGAGTGAGTTCTGTGTCAGGTGGAACAGAGATAAGTGCCTGCATCTGTCCTTTAGGTAGTTCCCAGACAGATTGGAACAGACTATATAGCAATATGTAAATAAGGCCTGCTCTGGTCCTTTTGTAACCGGGCACCAGGGTCTCCCACCAGGAATGCAGGCTATCTTCAAGATTGCCACTGAGCTGAGCATGGGGTAGATCAAGTGCAAGTAGAAGTGCCACAAAATTTTCCTGTGATCTTAAAGTTGCCTTTTTCTTGATTCAGTGTTCACTTGGTTGTGGTAAACTTTTCTGTTGTTCAGATTACTGATGGTTTCTGCTTGTATTTTAATATTTCTGTGGAGATATGGAAACTTGGAGCTGCCTACTTCCCCATTTTGCTGGATATCACCTATTATTTGTTGTTAAGTGTTTTAAAGCATTGCTTTTTAGTGACTACGTGTTGTTTCATTGTATAGATGTACCATAACTTACGGTAAATGATGCTTCGATGAACATTTTTTCATATCTCTGATTACTTTTTTATCTTAGGATAAATTTCCAAAGTAGAATAACTATGTCAAAAGTCATGAAAATTTTTGAGTCTTTTCATATTTACTACCAAATTGCCCTGCAGAAGGTTTGCATCCATTTATTTTCCCACAAGCAATATATGAGAGGGTTCATTTCATCCCTTCTCTGTAATTTAATAGTTTTTCTATATTTAATAGGCCAAAAATGACATCTTGTGGTTCTGTCCGCTCTTTTAAGAATTCTTCACATGACATGAATTTGAATCCATTGTTTTATTTACTCAGTTTGTTATGTACTTTAATTGGTCCATTTCCTCAAATGTATGGGCCAATGAACTTAGGCCATTCTTGTGATCAAGAATACATTTTCCTGCTCTCATAAATATAAAATTTGAATTTATTTTATAGTGAATCTGAATGGTGCCTACCCCACGCTGGTGCCTTTCAGACCTGCAGGACGGCTGATCTCTCCACCTCTGCTACTTTCTGTGATTTTCAACATTCTTCTCAGCCTGGCCATGCATATTGTGGGCTTCATCCTGGTTCAGAGGCAGCCTTGGTATTCCATGGAGATGCATAGGTATGAGTACAGTCTCAATTTCAGTTTCTTACATTCTAATTTCTACCAAACATCCTCTGGCCAATATGATGCGAGGTAAATGAGTCTTCATTCTGCCAAAGGTTTTGGCTCTTTTAAGTCCCTTGGGCAAATTTTCAGTGACTGTTTCTTCTCTATAACACCATTTAAGGCTAATAAATGTATCATTCATTCATGTGCACTTATCTTTGCCTGTGTTATACAATAATAATCTATTACTATCTTTTAGATCTGGGGTGACCATGGGTTACAGTTTGCCTGGGCAGCCCCAGTTTAAGTAACCCAGTTTAAATTAAGTGATGTCCCAGTGAAATTATTAAGATCTTTCTTTTTTACCTTCAAAACTATCCTTGTTAGATGATAAGTTATATATTCACTCCAATTACAAATTATCAGAGATTTGTCATTGTGGTTGTTGTTGTTATAGAGACAGAGTCCATCTCTGTTGCCCAGGCTGGAGTGCAGTGGTATGATCTCAGCTCACTGCAACCTCTACCTCCTGAGTTCAAGCAATTCTGCCTCAGCCTCCCCAGTAGCTGAGATTATAGGCACGTGCATGTGCAGCTAATTTTTGTATTTTTAGTAGAGATGGGGTTTCCCCATGTTGGTCAGGCTGGTCTCAAACTTCTGGCTTCAAGGGATCCACCCACCTTGGTCTCCTAGGTATTACACGTATGAGCCACCACACCCTGCAAAATTATTAGAGATATAAAGCCACTTGAGGGAGGAATCACAACTTACCCATCTCTTTCTTGTACAGCCTTAATGAACGTGCATAATTTGTTGGATAAATAACTGGCTGAATCTCTCTCTCTCTCTCTCTCTCTCTCTCTCTCTCTTTCAATGTATCCAAAATATCCAAAATATGGATCTATCTGTGCTTGTTTTTTTTTTCTTCAAATTTTCAATTTTTTTTCCCCAAAGCACAGGCAATTATAGAAGCACTGAGTGCCTGCTCTAGACACTGTTTGGTATGGAGTGTTCTGGATACAAATGCTCCATAAAGACTTGTCATCTTAGTTTGTTAGCTTCTTTGGTTTCCTTTTTAGTGCCTGCACATTTCAAAATGAAAACATCTCAGAGTTAACCATGTCTCCAACTGCTCCAGAAAAAATGGAAAGTAACCGTGCCATCACGAGTTTTGAGAACACTACTATCTGGTTCTTGGGAACAATCAACTGTATCATTGTGGCTCTTGTGTTCTCTAAAGGAAAACCGTTTAGACAGCCAACCTATACAAACTGTGAGTAAAACTCTACTGGATCAGAGGTGTGAAGTCATCAGAAAGGGGAACAGACATGCCCAGGTCACTTAGTGAACAGCTGTAGAGTTGACTCTTACCTGGCCTCTCCTGACTTCCACTTTGGGGCTCTGCAAAACATATTGCACAGCCTCATTTTCACAATTCTTTGCTCTTTCCTTCAAAGCTGAATTAGATACTCGGGCTTCTTTCTCTCTTTCCTTCACCAGAAGTTGTCTCTGGGCGTCTTTTCTGGGGATCACTCCAAATTGAGAAGACCAATGTATTTCTCTACTTGTCAGTACTTGTTAGAATCCACCTTGGAAAGAGTGGAGAGAAGTGTAACCTAACTCAGGTGGATCCTGTCATTTGCCATGAAGGCAATGGTGAGGGTGGCATTGCGTGGTGGCAGGCTACAAGTGGGTCCAGCCTGGAGGAACCTGACTAGAGAGAGTTATGGAAGCTCTTGGCCAGAGTACTTCCCTTCTACCTCCTTACATTCTGAATTGGGAAGGTATGCTTGGACGAGAAATTGAGTGACCTGTTTAATCTCGAAGACATTTATTTGTATACCATCACTACTTTTCTAATTGAAAAAATTCAAAGCCCAAATTGAGTATCTCTATAAATATTTTCATAAAAATTTATTTGTTCAGAGAAATTATTTACCTCTTCTTCCTAGAATGAAGAAGCAGTTAAATACTGACCTCTATGTAACAGCAGTTTAAACATTTGTTTATTGACAGGCTCCCTTTTTTCCAGAAAATGATTTGAGACAGATGATTTGCATTAATGCAACTCAGATATTTGTATGTATTCAACATGTGTTTTGTCAATGTTACCCTATGTATATTTACTGCTTTTATTCATTGAAACTTAAAATATGCATGTGAAAATTTTCACTTGCTTCAGGGACATGAATAGAAATTGTAGAAGTGAGACCCATTGCTTAGAAATGAGTACCTTCCATCTAGTGTTTGGATGTAGAAATCAGGTAAATTAAATCAGGGTTAATCTAGAATATGTCTGTCAATATATGTGACATTCTTAACTTTGATTTCTCAAAATGATAGCTTGTGTTCTTATTTCCTCAGATATATTTGTCCTTGTGCTGATAATACAGCTTGGTGTATGTCTATTCATTCTATTTGCTGATATACCAGAATTATATAGACGTTTGGATGTAAGTCTCATCTTTGGGATATGATGATGCTTTACAGTCATATAACAGCTTAACTTCAAAAAGCAGATTACAATTGCAATTGACATGATTTTTGACACAAATTGTTCTTTTGGGATGGCAGAGCTAAAAAGAATGTATTCATATTTTTTATTTAAACTGGTCAAGAAGTAAAATTCTACCTGATTTTGATTTCATGAGACTAAAGATAGCCTTTAAGTGATGAATATTTTAATTTTATTTTCTTCTTCTTATTTAAGGTACAGGATCTCACTCTGTTGCCCAGTCTGGAGTGTCATGCTATAGCTCACCACAGCCTCAAACTTCTGGGCTCAAGCAATTCTCCCACTTTAACCTCCCGAGTAGCTAGGATTGCAGAAGTGTGCCATTATGCCTAGCTAATTTTTTAAAAAAAATTTGTCGAGATGAGGTCTTGCTATGTTGCCTAGGCTGGTCTCAAACTCTGGGCCTCAAGCAAGCCTTCTGCCTTTGCCTCCCAGCGTACTAGGCTGACAGGCTTGAGCCACCGCATCTGAGCAAATATTTTTATTTTTTAAAAAATCCCCTGTAAGATGGGAAAATCTGTTTCTGTATTTTCTCTTTCAAATATGAGAGAATTTTTTCCTAAATACTTCTGCTATTGAAGTTGTTTAAAACTATTTTGCCTGTGGCTTTTTTTGCTTAATTATCACATAAGTATTTATACATATTTTTTTATGGCTTTAAAAATGTTTTCTGTGTGTTCATACTTAATCTTTGTAAGACTTACTTTCCAAGAACCATTCTTTACCTCATAAACTCTCTTACATTTTACAATATTGATACAGCCATAAAAACCTACAAGATACCAACATTTTACGTATTCAAGCCAGGGAAAATCATATTTTGATTTCTTTAACCTATCCTACTATTATTACAATTTAATCATGGCTAAATATTCTTTAGATCAATAAATGCAATATTGAAGAGATGACTAAAGAAATAGTTCTTTTAATTTAGTGCTTTGTATATCTGGTTGCCTCTTCATCTCAAAGATGAGTTTCATGAAGTCCAGGAGTGTATCTTATTCATTCTTGTATTACCAGTGGCTTTTACAAAGAATGGCCAAAAATGACAAAGGAATGATTGATCATTGCATATCAGACTCCTAAATATAAACAAGCACTTAGAGGACACAGTGCGTTCCCAACCAGCGATACCCACACAAACCCACAGTGACATTTGGCATACTAACTAGTATCTTTAGTTTGACATATTAATATATTTAGCATTAGTCTTTTTATTTTTGTGATTACTGTGGTTAACACTGTTGTTAAGTGCCTTCATGAATTAATGGATATTCATGGATATAAGTAGGCTTTGCCCACTGCTCTTCTAAGTCAGTTAAAACTTCTTAATCCTGCAGAAGTTAAGGATAAGATATGGTGAGTTGAATGACACTTTTTAATAGAAGAAGATTCTTACAGAAAGGCTGGTATAACAAAATACAGAACATATTTGATATAGAGAGAACCTGGTTAGGGTCATTGCCACCATGAGTGCAAAGGATTCTGCAAATAATTATTGTTCACTTTTAAAACAATTATTTTTCTTATTATTACATAAAAATATATGTTCTTTTTAGAAAATGTAGAATGTGCAGGCAAGGAAAATTATAACATTATTCACTCTATTCTTCTTTTAAAATTCCTATGTTATAAATGTGTGTTGACTAATTTTTAGTTTTTTAAAAAGGATGAGATCACATTGTTGTTTTACAACCTAGAAACTGCTAACTTAAAAATTTATAAATTATTTTAGTAGAGTACACATTCATTTGGTTTACAATTCAAAAGTTTAAAAAGTCATATAGTGAAAATCTCCATCCCATCTTAGATTCCCAGTCACCAGTTCCCCTCTCTGGAGGCAACCACTGACACCAGTTTATTTTACATACTTTGGGATTTATTTTGTATATTCTTTTTCCACATTTTTATATAAATATTAGAAAACTATTATATTTGCTCATGTCTGAACTGACATCTGAGATGTAGATGTCAAGCTGAGTTGTGCAAGAGAATTATTGGAGGAAATTCCCAGGGTTGGTGGCAGGGGAATAGAAAGTCAGAGGAAGTGGGGAGAGGCATCACACTGTGATGGGGGTTTAACTTCTAAGAAAGTCAGGCCAAAGTTGCCCATCAGGAGTTTCTATGTCTCATAGGAATGAGTCTGGTTAGAATCCTGCTGTCTTCATTTCTTGGCTATGTGAAGCGCATGACTTTATATATGCTTTACAGCAGATGTGGTAGTGGATTCTGAGCATAGCAGTTGGGGTATTCATCATTTATCTTCCCAGAAGCAGAAGATCTGAGTGGAAAATTTTCATGGCTGCTACAACACATACATAGTCCTGCACCTTGCTTCTTTCATGTAACAGTATCAGTTGTTCCATATCAGCACATACATTTTCCTCATTCTTTTTAATGTTAATATAATATTTCATTTTATGTGAAAGCATTTTATGTATATGTTTTATATATATATACCATACTTCATATGTACTCCCATATTGATAGACATTTAAGTTGTTTCCAAGTTTTATTATTGCAATAAAAATATTATTGTGCATATATCATTTTAGGCATATACAAGTATATGTATAAGTTCCTAGAAGTAGGTTTGTATTTTTAACTTTGAGAACATTGTCCTCTATAAAACTGTTTTAGTTTTTACTCTCACTAATGTATGAGGCAGTGCCAGGTACAATGGGATGCCCTTGGCACTTTTTCATTCATTAATTCATCCATTGATTGATTTATTCACCATATGTATATATCAGGCACTGGGCCTGGAAGGGTTTGGGAAGACAGAGAAAGTGCGCAAAGGGACAGGTCATGACAACCTTGATTTCAGCTCCACTTGCTCCCTGGCAATTGCCCTTGTGAGGGCACACTGTGCAGCTGGAGGCACAGTCCTGAGGGTGAAGCCCTGAGCCAGGGCTAAAACCAGAGCTTGGCTGGGGAGAGATGTGGCACCAGAGAAAAGAGGGCAATGCTGCCCAATTGTGAAGATTTGGCATGCGTACCCTCAGGCCTCCTGAGAATAAAACCACATTCCTGCCTCCCTTTTGACAAAAAAACAAAGCAAGCAAACAAAAAATGATTTTACCATTTTCTTCTAATTGCAAAGTGACCAAATTTATTTTAGGAAATTTAGAAATTACAGAGAAACACACACATGACAAGAAAAAAAAAAGATAAAAGAAGAAAAGCAACATTCATAACCCCCAACTCATTAGGATCGTGAGTATAAGCTTTCCATACTTTTTCTGTGCATATGAACACAAAAATTCTTTATACATATCAGATTTATGTAATACACACACATATATATGACACGAGATTTATCATCTATGAAAATGTATACTGTGGACATGTGAACATGTTTCCAGCATATGTTTGTCTTCAGACTAACCATGCTTCGTCATCTCCTGCCAGCTGCTCTGCACGCCCGTCCTGTGGAGGGTCTCCATTGTCATCATGCTCAGCTTGAATTTCATTGTGTCCCTAGTGGCCGAGGTAAGTGCCCTCAGGCTGCTGCTCTTGTGTGTGTTTGCATGCATGTTTGTAGGGGGACCTTTTTGGGGCTCTGAAAAGCTGACATGGACTCAGCAGTGCAGGGCCTTGCTTCCTTCACAGCGTAAGCAATGGTGCATTCCTCTGAGTTCCAAGCCAGGCACCAGTTTTCCCATCTGCCAAGTGGGGCAAGTGGGACTGGGAAGAATGAAATTACGGTCTCTAAGGTCCTATTTATTTCTAAAATTTCCAAATAAAGACTCAACACAATTTACTTTTTAAAATTGAGATGTGATTCACACACCATAAAATTCACCCCTTTAAAGTACACAATTCAGTAGTTTTTAGTACATTCACTGAGTTGTACAACCGTTATTAACACTACCAAATTGTAGAACATTTTCATCATCACTAAAGAAATCCTGTACCCACCAGCCTTTGCTCTTCACTGCCCCTTCCGCCTTCTCCTGGGCCTTGGTAGCCACTAATCTACTTTCTATCTGTGTGGATTTGACTATTCTGGACATTTCATGTAAATGAAATCATACAATATGTGGCTTTTTGTGTCTGGCTGCTTTCACTTAACAACTCGTATCATTTTTGCCTTACAGATGGGAAATGACATTCATAGTGAGCTTTCCAGCTTTCAATCTCCAGCTCCCCTGTGCTCCATTTCCTAGCTTTTCTTCTCCAGCTCCCCTGTGCTCCATCTCCTCAGTGAAATGAGCCTGTGCTCCTGCTTTCTTTCTCCCCGTGATTCACGCTTTCCTCCCTCAGTACTATCAGACACAATCTCCATTCTTCAAAGCCTGTTGTTAGGCAGGGGTGCCCTGAAAAGGCAGTTATGAACAAAAGAGAGGTGAGATGCAGAATTCCATCTGCCCCTATTCCTGCTCTGAGTTACTAGAATTGTTCCAGCAAATGGACTGTTCATGATGAGCCATGAGAACTTACAGCCTGACTTCCCTGCAGTACTGTGGAGGCAGGACCTCAGTGAGTTCTTCCTACTTACTCCTCTGCAGAGTAGAGGCTTCACAGGAGCTGAAGGCAAAACACGACATGAAAATTTCACTACTGGACCTTCTCTCTCTATGCTAAACCAGAGCTTCTCAAACTTGAGTGGGCATCAATATCACCTGGGAGGCTTGTTAAAACAGAAATTGCCAAGCCCTTCCTGCAGTGTGTCTGATCCAGTAGATCAAGAAAAAGTATAAAAGTTTGTTTTTCTAAGAGGCTGTCAGGGGATTCTGATGTGACTTGTTCAGGGATCACACTTTGAGAAGCAATATGCTGAACCATATGGTCTCTAAAGTAACCAGATTAATAAAAGAACATTATCACAGGTGTCCTCAGACCCAATGAAAGAATGATGGTCTTTGCCCTTTAAAGGATAATCTAATGTGTACTTCTTATCCCTGTCCATGATCACAGGATTTCCTCTGTCTAGTGTATCTCTCCTCTGTTTCTGCATATTAAAGTGCAATTCCATCCTCTAATGCACAGCTGTAGTATTATCCTCTTCATGCATCTTTCCTGATCTCTGAATCAGGTAAGCATGCAGCAACTTAACTAAAACATGCATCTTTCCTGATCTCTGAATCAGGTAGACATGCAGCAACTTAACTAACAGTGGCTTAAATAATAAAGATGTTTATTGACTCAAGAAGAAGATTGAAGATCGGTGGCTTTAAGACTGGCTTAGTGGCTCAGTAGCATCATTGAGAATCCACACTCTTTCACCTTTCTGTTCTACTGTCCTTAGATGTAGTCTTATGTTTGTGCTTGTGGTTTTGGTGCCCAGATAGCTTCCACATAGCTGGACTTTACATCTGTTTTCAGTGCAGGAAGAAAATGGAAGGAGCAGCGAACAGCAAGCCCATTTCCATCAAGTCAACCTTTTCTTGGGAAACAGACTTTTCCTGAAGCTCACCAGCAGACTTCCTTTTATGCCTTATTGATTAGACCTGTGTCTCATTGTCATTATGAGTAGAAAAGGATTCTGGGAAAGCAGATCCATGTCAAAATTTAGACAATTTGCCTCAGACCATTTATTATCGTTACTTTTCCCTTTTAGGTGGGCAGGGAAGAGTTGGGAGGAAATGGGCTATATGGTAACCAAGTATCAAAGTCTTCCATAATCTTCTAGCAGGAGGTTCTTCCTTTTTCAGCATATTTGAAGTTAAGAGCACAAGCTCAGGGGTAATCTACCTGGGTTCGAATCCTGGCTCCACCGCTTTCTTGGTGTCTGACTTTGGGCAAATTATTCCACTTACCTAATCTCTGAGCAGCCCCAAAAACAAACAGGTTTGAGCAGGACCTTATCCTTACTATGCCCATGCTCATGATCTAACCCCCAGCTGAGAGGCATGAGATCTAGTGTGGATAGCTTTAATTGCCCTCACCTTTAAAAAATTATTTATATGTTTATATAGGTATGCTTGTATGTATGAGTTATTTGAGTAGCCAGTCAGAAAAGCTCATGCTGTGAATTTTTTTTAAAGAAATGTCTCACCAAGGCTTTCCTTTTGTTTCTATTGTATTAGTCCATTCTCCCACTGCAGTGAACAAATACCTGAAACTGGGTAATTTCAAAAGAAAAGAGGTTTAATTGGCTCATGGTTTTATAGGCTGTACAGGAAGCATGGCTGGAAGGCCTCAAGAAACTTTCAATCATGGCAGAAAGCAAAGGGGAAGCAGGCAGGTCTTACATGGCCCAAGCAGGAGGAAGAGAGAGAAGGCAGAGACGCTACATGCTTTTAAACAATCAGATCTCATGAGAACTCACTCACTGTCATGAGAACACCAAGGAGGATATCCACCCCTAAAGTTTCTCTCTCTGTCTCTGTCTCTCTCTCTCTTTCTCTCTCTCTCTCACTCTGTGTGTGTGTGTGTGTGTGTGTGTGTGTGTGTGTGTGTACATACGTGTGTTTTCATCTATTTTGTTTTAAGTCTTGCTAAGGTTTCCTGGAAGTAAGATTTTAAAACCTTCACTTGATGTTCCTGCCTTATCCCAGCTCTAAGAAGAGCTACTGTTTTCTTGTTAATTAAGGAAGACAAAAAACAAAAAACCTTGCTGCAGGAAAGTAGAATAACTCATCTGGCTAAGTTTCCAAGAGGCTGAGATGGCCATGTGGATCTTTAACAGCCTGGCAGCTGTTCTATAACTTTACAATGCAGAGCAGGATATAGCTCTCTCCCTTTGCCTGCTCTTCTGAACCACTCATTTAACAAATGGCTATGTACTGTGGTCCTGTTCTCACGTGCCTCTAACCTTCACCTTCACTGAAATACAATTTTAAGATTACAAAAGATATGTCCAGTGAAAACACCTTAGATTGGTTCTGCGCTCAAGCTCTTTGTCCAGCTGGATCTAAGCAGCCATTGCAGCAGCGACTTATGATGGCCCGTGGAGGGCTGTAGCCTCAAAACACTCAACCCCTGATTGTGAAAAGCAATTCTTTTATTTTGCAGGAGGCCATTATTGAAAATCGAGCCCTGTGGATGATGATTAAAAGATGTTTTGGCTATCAGTCAAAAAGCCAGTATCGGATATGGCAGAGGGACTTGGCAAATGACCCCAGTTGGCCCCCACTAAACCAAACCTCCTACTCTGACATGCCGGGGTGTGGCAGAGGGGTGTCATACAGCAATCCAGTATTTGAGAGCAATGAAGAACAACTTTGAAGGACATGTGATATCCAAGTTGATATTACAGAGAAACAATGACAAAAGGGACCGGTTTCATTGATTTTAAGAAATGACACTCTTGCAACATCAGCTGGAGTTTTGGGATACCTATCAAATCATGGTGACAAACTACAGTCTGTTTGATAAAATACTTTCTACAGAGAAGAACATTGACCCGGAAGAGTGCTTTCCTCTTGGCTTCTGAAGGTATGAAGGTATGGGAAGCATTCAGTGAAGGCAAGAATGGGCCAAGGAGTGCCATGGAGACAAGCAGGCTAAAAGGGAAGAATATGTGATCTTTCTTCTTAAGACAGGATAATACTTTCCTTTAAAAAAAAAAGAGTTGAGAGGAAGTAGTACTGTGTATACTCATGGAGTTGTAACATGTTAAAGATCACTTTTTAATTTTTACTTCATCAATGAAAAAACTAATGCATGGGAAACATTACACCAATCTTTACTGTCTGGATTCTTTTCCTCTGTAGTCCTTTTCAGATTTTAGGCTTTTTCTTCTGCTTCTGTCCTTACCCTACATATTATTAAGGATAAGCTCAGCCTATGCTGCAATAAAAAAGCAATTCTCAGGTAGCAGTGCCTTAACGCACAAGAGCTTCTTTCATGATCCAGGTGACACTCTGGAACAGCTATTCTTACAGCGGTGACTGCTTCACTCTGCTGGCTCCATCAGCTAGACACGAGGACTCTGTGTTTACTGTGATGGGGGAAGGGATAGGCTGGAGATCACATGTGGGCTCTTCACTGCCTCACCCCAAAAGTGGCACACATCTTCTTCCCTACTCTTATCTCATTAGTCAGGGATTTGGCCAGGAAGCTGGGAAGTACAGTCTGTGCTTTCCAGTACTTTAATACTCTGCACTTTCCAGTCTTTTAACACTCTGCAGTTTCTACCTTAAAATTCTTAATTTTTGAACAAGGGTCCTCATATTTTCATTTTGTACCAGAACCCACAAATTATATAGTTGGTCTGGGATGCAATCCTGGGAAGGAAGGGAAAACAGCAGATCAGAGAGCACTAGTGCTGTCCGCTCACGTCCACTTCTCTTAACCCCAGAACTGACCCTATGTTTCAGGAACCTCTCATGTCACATGGCCAACTCCAGAAATTTTCACTCCTCTGCTTTTTTATATTTGAGAAACATTAGTCTTGTGCCAAGGATTATATGGCACTATTGATATAAGTTCTTACACAACCAGTATGTTTTTTAAGTCTGTGGCTTCAGGTTCCAGAAAACTAATATTTTCCTTATTTTATCACTATTACAATTTGATTATACTGGATTTGTTCAGCGTAAGGAAGACTCAGGTTTCTGTTAGCTCAGGAGACAACACTACTGAATTCTAGGAGCACATTTACACATAACGTTTTAAGGCAAAAGCAACATTTTTATTATGAGCATCAGATCATAGGTGAATGTTTTAATCAGGGGATAAATGTCCTGGCCCAGGCTGGCTTTGCTACTTATTAATAGCATTTGCAAGCATTCCTTCCCCCTAAGTGAGCTCTTGAGCATGGTTGATGACTCTATGACTGCGGCTGATTCTGGGAACATGGTATCTCCCAGACACGAAGGTACCTTGTTACTTCTGGTTTTAAAATAGGGCTTGAAGATATTTCAGTGTTCCAAGACTGCAGAATCGTTGTCTTTTTTTGATACAGAAAGAAATGTTTCCTTTTGCAAAGCCAGCCTTAGCAATGATATGGCAGTTCTGAATGTCCTTTTCTGAAAGTGTTTCTCATTTTCCAAAAGTGGAGGGTTATGGGCAGGGGCAAGCTAGACGTGGTCTGCGAACTAGTCATGAGCAAGATCAGCCTGCACAGTTCATACTTAAACGTGCCCTTTGCTAAGTGTGTTCACCTCCATTAATTCACTTGAATTGTACAATTGTCTGATAACTCAACAAGGAATGGCTTATCATCTCTACCATACAGATGAGAAGACTGAGATTCAGGAATGGCAAGAGCAGATCTAGACCTCAAATACAGATCTTCTGAGCAAACCTTATATTGCTTCCAAAAACTTCCTAATTATGGAGCTCTAGCAGGGCAGAGTGCTTAGTGTGATCTCACAATCAAGCAAAGAATGGGCCACTCTTTCCTAATACCAGGGCCTCTGTTCAAATGAATGCCAGTCATCCTGCAAGGCCTGGGCTAGAGGTGTGTTAAAAACCAAACCGAACCGAACCGAAAAATGATTGTCTGTTTGTCTTTCTGAGACTGAGTTGCTCTTGCCTTGGGTCTAAGTGATTCTATCCCTAGCAATGGCCTGCAGGGAACAGGAATAAAAGAATCTAGTCCTCCACTAGCCAAGCAGCCATAAAATCTTTGGGAAAAGAGACTCATTTTGAAGACTGTATTCCTGGGGATAACTACATCTTAGAAGCAGTAACTGAAAGAACAGGGAGTTCCTAGCCTGGAAAAAAAAAAAAAACAGGGGACTCTGAAGGGTTATTCTGAGAAAGAAGGATCTGATTTGTGCCAGGTGGCATGAGAAGGCAGAATCCAGACAAGTGGACAGCCAGCACTGACACCAGTGGAGTGTACTCCATGACACTGAAGGAACAAGTGACTATTCAAAGGCCAATTAGAGAAGGAAGTCAGGTAACAGATGAAACTCAGTTACCTGCAAGATCTCTTTCAGGCATGATACACTCAATGTCTCAGTCTTATGCTGTGATGTGAACCACTTTCTACTGCTACCCACACAGAATACCAGACTGACACTCATGGGAGGATGGGCTCTGGAGGGAGGGCTCCCAACCTTGTGAGAACCAGTTGTGTGGACATACAGACTCAATGGCCTTGTACCTTGAAAGGGGATCTTACCTCCCTAGTGGAGATAAGATGCTAGGAAAGAGGTGCAGAGTGAGGCGTTCTGATTGCTATATTGAAGCTGGGGAATCAGGTTCAATCTGATTTGTGTATTTACTTAGAGAGGTGTTTAAAATATTTGCATGAAAGAGCATGGGAGAGTGCCCTAAACTTGACGGCAGGGCAACCTGTTATCAACACACTTTATTGACCAGACTCTGAAGGAGAACAGAACACAGTCACATAGTCCAAATCATTTGAGACAGTGTCCTGTATGTTCATCCCAAGGCACCTAGCTCTTACCCACAGAGAATCCTGACTCTGGGCTTCCCTCACTAAATATGTAATGATCCGAGAATGGAAATACGTGCGTGCCGTCTGTATCCTTACGTGCTTATGGAGATGTTCACGTACACACCTGCAGATGTGTTGATCGAAAGAAAGTGATTATTCAGAGCTTTGTATCTAGTTTATGCTATAATAAATTATTATGTACAAAAGAGGCACATAAAATCTATAATTCAGTTGTCATAAAAATCAATCAATCTCTCTGCAGTGGAGTCTTTGACTCCATCTAATAAAATGGTTTACTTCAGTAATGGTGAATCAAACAACATCTTTACAAAGTTCCAGCCATTTTCTAACAACACCGATGCTATTTTTCTCTGCTTTATACACAGGACATTAGAGTTTACAAAATACTTTCATACTTCTTCTTTCATTTAAGCCTTGTAACAACCTTAGGAGGAAAGCAAGGCAAGGATTACTGTCCTTTTGATGAGGTACAAGACTCTCCAGATGGCTAAGGAACTCGATCTAGGACACACGGCTCGTGCATGGAGAAGCTGGATTCAGATGTAGGTCTTTATCAGCAATATCCCTGCTGTGTCACACTACCACGTTGTTTTCCCTGAATGAAAAAAGAAAAAAAAAACTGTAGCATAAAAAAAACAGATGACAGCAAAGGAAGTATCCAATGTAATTGCCATCGTGAGCACAATTTCTTCCAGAAAGATATTTTGGTGTCTCATGAAAGTTCTCTTGAACCTGACCATCAATCACAGAAAAGGTCAACTCCAACAGCTGAGAGAGTAAAATCATACCACCAAAGCCTTGTGAGCTTATTTCATGTGATCAGATAAAGCTCTTGTTTTTGACTTCAGTCTCCAGAAACAGAAACCTATATCCCTGCTTGATCTTTATTCAGACCTGCTTTCCACAGCTTTTCGGGTTCCTGTAGAATCTCTTTTGGCTTTGAAGTATGCTCACTTCTCTACCCATAAACAACTTGAAAACTGCTACCCCATGATATTCTGTCTGCCCTTTGGTTTCCACTAGACTTGTTAACAATAACTTTTACACTTTGTTAATAAAATGATTTTCTTCAAAATTGAAGATAAAATTAACAAAACATAACTCCCAGAATTGATCAGAGAGCCTTAGGAGTGAGCCACCTGGCTTCGTCAAACACTTCCATCCTCAGGAAGACTGCATTTTCCATCCTCTTTGCCTTGAATGCTACCCCCCAACCAACTTCCTGTTCCCATTGCTGATTCCTTCTCCTTCAGATTTCAGCTCATGTGTCACTTCCTTTAAGAAGCCTTCCATGACCACTTCATCTAATGTTGCTCTTGCTCCACTACTGTGTTTTATTTTTTGCATAATGCCTGTGCCACCGTTCAGATGACTGAGGCTGAAAGAGTGCTACTTGTTCAAGATCATGTAACAGGGAAATGAATGCTCTGAGTCTATAATCTAGATCTACTGACTTCCAAATCAAGTTCTTTACATTCTTCACATCTAGCCAGATTCTGCCAATTAAATCAGCTAATCTGTCAAGAAAAAGAATGCAAGATGCTGCAGAGTATTGTCCATGGTTGGATGAAAAACACTCTTAAGAGTCATCCAGACTCTCCCAGCTCTTTTCCTTGCTGTTTTCCCTTGACTTCTCCTAAGTGTTTCAATGCCATGAAAAATGTGATGAGTCAGTGACTTGTGATAAAGGCTGCACATATAGTTGCTACAGAAATTCTGTTGAGTTTAAAATTGTGGATAAAGGGGGTTATACTGCAGAAAAGTCTCACATGTGTTGTATGTATTGCACACTGTACAATCCTAGGATGGACCATTCATATTGTACTGCAAGCCCAGGGTGATGGTTCTGGATTATATCAAGGAAGTTTTGTGGGTAAATGATGGCTTTAACTTTGTAATTATAAACACATATATGCAATGAAAAGTTCCACCTGTGCCTGCTACAGTTTCTACATCTTTAGACTGTCTCTTGGCACTGTCTCTCATGCAGAACTTCCTCTCCTCTAAGCCCTTGGTTACCACCTGCCTGATTACAAAAGCCTCTTAACTAGTCGACCTAAAATCTTTCTTCCATTTTCATTCTCAAAGTCTCTATTCTATTGCACAACTCTGATGATGCTATGTACATGGTCAGAAACCCTTAATGGTCTGAATTGTCTACCAGATAAAGTACACATTGCTTACTAAGGATTTCAAGTCCTTCTCTACTGGCCACATCTGATTTCATCTCAGATCTTTCCCCGGCTCATGCCTGTAATCCCAGCACTTTGAGAGGCCAAGGAGGGCGGATCACCTGAGGTCAGGAATTTGAGATCAGCCTGGCCAACATAGTGGAACCCCATTTCTAATAAAAATAGAAAAATTAGCTGGGTGTGATGGTGCATGCCTGTAGTCCCAGCTACTCGGAGGCTGTGGCAGAAGAAGTGCTTGAGCCTGGGAGGCAGAGATTGCAGTGAGTCGAAATTATGCCATTTCACTCCAGCCTGGGTGGCAGAGCAAGACTCTGTCTCAAAAAAAAAAAAAAAAAAAGCGAGAGAGAGAGAGAGAGAGAGAGAGAGAAAGAAGATGCCTGCTTCTCTACCTTCTGCCTTGATTGTAAGTTTCCTGAGGCCTCCCCAGCAATGTGAAATTATAAGTTAACTGAATCTCTTTCCTTTATAAATTACCCAGTCTTAGGTATTTCTTCATAGCAATGTGAAAATGGACTAATACAGTAAATTGGTACCAAAACGTTAGGGTGCTGCTGTAAGGATACCTGAAAATGTGAAAGTGGTTTTAGAACTGAGTAACAGGCAGAGGTTAGAACAGTTTGAAAGGCTCAGAGGACAGAAAGATGTGGGAAAGTTTGGATCCTTCTGGAGATCTGTTGAATGGTTGTCACCAAAATGGTGATAGTAATATGGACAATGAAGTCCAGGCTGAGGTGGTCTCAAATGGAGATGAGAAACTTTTTGGGGACTGGCGTAAACCTGACTCTTCCTATGCTTTAGCAAAGAGACTGGTTGGCATTTTGCCTCTGCTCTAGAGATCTGTGGAGATTTGAACTTGAAAGAGATGATTTAGGATATCTGGCAGAAGAAATTTCTAAGCAGCAAAGCATTCAAGAGAAAGCAGAGTGTAAAAGTTTGAAAAATATACAGCCTGATGATGCAATAAAAAAGAAAAAAAAAAAACAGTTTTCTGGGGAGAAATTCAAGCCTGGTGCAGAAATTTGTCATGAGTAACATAGTAACTGAATGTTAATCACCAAGACAATGGAGAAAACGTCTCCAGGGCATGTCCATGGGGAAAATGCCCTTCTTGACAGCCCCTCCCATCACAGGCCCAGAGGCCTAGGAGGGAAAAATGTTTTCCTGGTCTGAGTTCCGGGTCCCCTTCCTCTGTGCAGCCTCCAGACATGGTGCCCTGAATCCCAGGTACTTCAGTCCCAGCTGTGGCTAAAAGAGGCCAGTGTACAGCTCAGGCTGTTGCTTCAGAAGGTGCAAGCCCCAAATCCTTGTGGCTCACCCATGGTATTGGGCCTGTACATGCACAGAAGTCAAGAATTGAGATTTGGGAACCTCCACGTAAATTTCAGAGGATGTACAGAAACAGATGTTTGCTGCATGGGTGGAGCCCTCATGGAGAACCTCTGCTAGAGCAGTATGGAAGGGAAATGTGGGGTTGGAGCTTTCACAAAGAGTCCCCACTGGGACACTGCCTAGTGGAGCTGTGAGAAGAGGACCACCATCCTCCAGACTCTGGAATGGTAGATCCACTGACAACTTCCACTGTAAGCCTGGAAAAGCCACAGGCACTAAACACCAGCATGTGAAAGCACTCGTGGTTGGGGGGTGGGCTATACCCTGCAAAGCCACAGGGGCATAGCTGCCCAAGAGCTATGGGAGCCCACCTCTTGCATCAGCATGACCTGGATGTGAGACATGGAACCAAAAAAGATCATTTTGGAATTTTAAGTTTTAATGACTGCCCTGTTGGATTTTGGACTTGCATCCTACAGCCCCCTTTGTTTTTGTCCAGTTTCTCCCATTTGGAATGGGTGT